AATCATTTAAAGTGTTAATGTTTGAGTCTCTATCAAGAATTGTGACTTCCTTGGTCTCTAGATGGTTCATTACTGGCATTTCTTAAATTATCCCCTTGTCTACAAGTGGCAATATAAGAATTGCCATCCCTATCAGAAAACTGTGTTAGATGGGTTTTTATATGATTACAACTCAAATATTAGTTATTATCCATGTTATTCATTGGCATATTTCCTAAGGACATCCCACATTACAAAGCAAAGTCCATATTCTCTTAATTAGCAGAATATATGTATATATATATATGTATATATATATATATATTTATGGTTTTTAAAATTATTAATGGACACAGGCTGTGATGTAACTGAGGATACTTTCTTAGGCTTTAAAGCTTCTGAGAGAAGTTCTATGAAGTTCTTTTTAGGATTTATTCATTTTTATGTGTGTGAGTATTTTGCCTGTGAATCAGATCCCCTGGCTACATGGATGTTGGGAACCAAGCCTGGGTCCTCTGCAAGAGTAGTATATGGTCTTAACCACTGAGCCATCTCTCAGACCACAAAAAGTTTGTATTTACTGTAGCAAATGATACTATGAAAAACTATAACCATGCATTTAAAAAATTCTTGTGTTAGGTAATTTTAATATTTCCTTTAAATTGTATCATTTTGATATTGAATAGTGATATTTATAAACTTTATTATCTTCTGAGGGTTTTTTAATGAGATTTATTAGGGTAAATTGGCAGCCATACCTGTCATTGAACTGCCACATTCCTACAAATTTTGAATTTCCCAAAATATTGGTTAGAATCAGCCATCTACGAGAGTGATGATCAGTGTGAGTTTAAGAACTTGAACTCATTTACATGCTTTGTTTAGTGCTTTTCTCCATGCTCCATATTATTCATTTGTCTTCTATGTAACTCCATTCTTCTGAGGCTTTGCAGGCAATTTTCATTATTGCTAAAATCTAATTAATAAGTGGTGATCATTTTCATTCTTTCTTTCTTTCTTTCTTTCTTTCTTTCTCTTTCTTTTTTTCTTTTTTGTTTTTCAAGACAGGGTTTCTCTGTGTAGCTTTGGAGCCTATCCTGGCACTCGCTCTGGAGACCAGTCTGGCCTCAAACTCACAGAGATCCGCCTGCCTCTGCCTCCCGAGAGCCGGGATTAAAGGCGTACGTCACCAACGCCCGGCCTTTTTCAGACTTTCTTGCATTATAATATGGGCCATAAAAACAGCACTAAGGCAAAGACCAAACACATTATATTAGTTAGAGTTCTGTAGATGAACAGAACTGGTAGAATGGGTATATACTGCCAAAGGGTATTAATTAGATGGAATTATGTGATATGGGTGGGTTATCCAACAAAGACTGTCTATGCTTTGGTGATATTGACAATCCTGTACCTCTTCAGGCCATGATATGGATTCCTCAGCAGTTTCCATATGGTACAGAAAGCTTGAGGATTCCTGGGCAACTGCTGGTCTTCAGTCCATATTGAAAGACCAAAGAATCTGGGTTCTGATTGTCAGAAAGGATGGTAGCAGTAGCAGTTGCTGCTGTTACTGCTGGAGGCTAGATGCACACACCAAAAAGGAAGAAGTCAAGCATAGGAAACAGGACTTTGTAGCTAGAGTGCCAATTGAAGTTTGCTCACTCTGGGGTATGCTTTCCTCTTTAGTTAATGATCCAGTGGACACCTTGCTGACTCACTGAGAAGCATGTCTCTTAGCTGATCCCAGATCCTGACAAGTTGACAACCAAGATTAACCATTACATAAGTAAAACAAGCCATTGCCATTCAAAGAAGTGAGGTATTTGCTGACAGGAACAGATAATAATCACATCTATCAAGGGCAACTTTAATTCAATGGAATTTCCCTGTAATAACAGAGCAGAGGACTTTTATGAACATGAATGTCACTCATCACATGATGGTTTTTTTTCTTGTAAGTAATAGCAAGCATCTAACACACTGACAGAATTGAAATCTAGTAGTTTCAGAATCAATGCTAAGAATGTCTACTTTTTAATGGCTACTTGTTGCTTTATTTTCTCAAGAAATAGCTATCCTATCTTGAACTCATATAATACAATCTTAGAAACATCTACTAGAAAGCATATTCAAAAATCTCGTTTACATAATCCTGGTTATTCAACAATAACAAACATTTCCAAAGTTCTATTACCTTTATTATATATTTCCCAGCTTTTATTTAATGATCAGATAAAGTGTAGGCTGCCCATGACTACAGTCCCATTCAAATCACTATGAAAAAAAAAAAAACAACAACACCACCAAAACCAACCCCCCTCCGCAAACAAACAACCCCCCCAAACTTCTCTGAGAGTGGTCTTGCAGCATTGTTCTGTCATTCTCTGAACATAGTGGACTCTTGTCGATGCCTTCCCAGAACTATCTTTGCTGTCAGTTCCAACAGTCAGTTAAATGGTCTTATAGATACCTACTGTCAGTATCCCTTCCAGATACTTTTTTTTTTTTTTTGACATCAAAACGGCAACAACCCAAGCTCAAGAGAGATAAGAAGAAATTTCTAGAACAACAAAGATTTACAAATGTTTCCACTATCCGTTGAACAAGTTTCTTTTGGAAAACTGGAAAAGCTGAAGATTGGTAAACTGGGTATGATTGCTTCACAGATCCAGAGACAATGGCATCTGATTTCACAGGGAAAAGGAACTTCCAAAGAAGAGTGAGCTGTGGGGAGGCTGCTGTGTTCCAAAGCAACAAGGGAGTGACTAGGTTTTTGTGGAAATGCCTCTTGGTGATCCTTAAGGACAACTCTTGTGATGAGTCAGGTCTTTCTCTAATCTCACTTCTTTCTTGTGTGTGACAATATAGCATGTCCGGTTCCTTGTATCATACGTATTCAGAAACGTGGATCCCGACGAGTTTGCAGGCACAAAATCTACTTTATCTTTCAAGTTGTTCTCAAATGCTTAGGTATAACTCTATCTGGGAATTAAGATGTGGTAAAATACATTTGCTTTCAATTGAAAAGGATTCTAACTTTTCATATAGTAGCTAGCACTTCCTGTTTAGTCTTAGAATATTTTTTCTTATTTTTCTCCTCTTACTGATCTTTAGAAAAATCAATGTGGGCTAAGTCTAGTCTGTATTGGAATGGAGGTAGGGGTAGAGTGGATACTAACGCCTGACCAAGCCTGCTAGCAACTTAATGCCAATATTTGGAAGGCTATATGCCTGTATAAGCAATTAAATTACAATTATCCTTATATTATAAATCTATTATAAATTATGGTTCAGGAAAAGTTTTTGAGACCTGTGATATCCAGGCTAATTTTTATTTTTCAAGTGTATCATAGGTGGAAAAAATTAATACCTATGTAGTAAGAATTGTTCTTTCTTTAGTGCAGTTGATTTTACTCTGTAACTATCTTGTGCTCTTGAGACATAAAGCAAATTCACAGCTTTGAAAATGTATTTTAAAATGCAGAGGAAAACCATAGCCTACTTGATCTGTAATATGTTTTATAAAAGCAGAGGGGGAATTGATCTGTGCTGATGACCAAAATTTACTTTTTGGTTTGGATGCTAAAGCAAATAATCTTAGGAATTTTAGTCGTTCAAAATATTGCTTATTATAATGGGATGCCGGCACTGCAAATCTGCATGGTTTCCCTTCCTTGTGACATTTCTTTTGATGACAACGCCTGTGGCCTGTGTGTCAGCATCTGGGCTGCTGCTATGACTGCTGTGGCATCCTGTGATGTTGCAGAATTGTCAGGGAGGCAAACATTCAGCCACACTGTCAAGTTTTCCTAGTGAATCTGTATAAGAGAAATGACGCCTGTAGTTAGATTCAGAAGCATTCACCAATGAACTGAAGACCATGAGAAATAGGACTATTTTATTTATGCAGAGGAAATATCTTAAAAGAAATTAAACAAGAAACCAGGCACCTCTAGGCAAAGAAAAAAAAACATTAAAATTTCACCACAGTTCTAGAATTCACTCGATAAATTTACTCTGCTATCGGAATGCTGTCCCAGACAATGAAAGCACTGTAAACGCTAAGGTTAAATGTGTGCCTGAGAAGAAAATTATAGCAGGCAGAGAAACAGTGCAGACTTCCAAATTTTAAAGGCATTAACCATTAAGGATAAACACATACTTTGCTCATTTCCTCAGATTAGGTATGGCATTCTAGAAAGGTGCACACTTTCTCTATTCTACCCATCAAAGTTCAGGAATTCTACTTTTAATCTGTGTCGTCAGGCAGGGCATTTGATCTTTAGCACTCCGTGTTTATTTGCACAACTTAAATCAAAGTACTGAGTACTCTTTGTAATAAATATATTATTGTAACTATGTCTACATTTCAGTTGTAATGAAGTAAAAGTTAAGAATTTCTATTTCAACTATTTATTTAATCAGAAATAAATATATATTTCTGCTTAAATCTTTTCTACAGACAATTAAGTAGGAGCTATCTAATTCCCATCTGGGAATTATTATAATTATCCTTTTTTTGGTAGAATATATTTGCTAATGATTCATTGTCTACTTCTTTTGCCTTAAAATAGCTGGTCGTCATTAAGAATCAATAACTTTACTCCAATTTAAAATTTTGTCCTTTCAGTTTTTAAAGAAGTAAATTTTAATGACTTCCAAAAGCTGAAATAATCCCAAGCATGGACCTGAGACATACCAAGTTAACTTGCTACAACCTGAGACTTAATATAGAAGTGTATTAATGCATGCCACTAAAAAGACCAAAAACATTTCTGTATGGAAGGGTGGCAAAGTTTTCAATCTGCTACTTGAAAAATGGTTTTTACCCTCCCTGGAACTTGTACGCCCCACGTATCACTTTTGTATGCTACACACATGGTTGTAAAATGGTGAAAATGGAAGCTTTCCTGGTAGCAAAAGGGTTAACTTCTTTTTGCTTTACCAGTTTCAAATTACAATGAGAAGCCTCTTCTTTCCCAGCAGGGTTGTGCTTACATTTCTCCTTAGATCTCTCTTGAAGAGGGCTGGTATATTTGTGCCTGCTGGAGGTGGAATTAACTGTAAGAAGGAGGAAAAGATTGAATGGATTTACAGGAAGGATTTCAAGTAAACTCAGGGAAACACATTTACTTGAACAGTATAACCCTGGGTCTTGTTTTACACTAAGACCATACAAGAGATGTTCGAGTTATCACTAGACTGCCGGACAAATAGAATTCCAACAGCAAGGTGCAGATCAGCGTAGATCTGTGGTTCTGACCTCGGAATTTGTCTTGGAAGGAGTTCAAGCACTGAGAAGAAGTCAGAGCCAGTGAAGAGAACTTGGGAGCCACAGTCTATCAGAAGACCAGCTTTTCGTCAGTTCAAATACCAAAGGCCTGATTATCATAAATTCACATAGGAATGCATAGGTTATTTGATCAAGGAATTTTAGCCAGCTTTTACTACATCAATACTGCAAAAGTTCTTAACAACTGTGGATAATTAGAAATCTGAATTTCAGCTTTCATAGAAATAACTACTCTTGACGTATTTTAAAATATTTACAACAGGAGAAGAAAATGGAGTGAGGATGTTGTGTTCAGAAATACCACTGTCATGAAGAATAGGTAAATTTGTTTTTACAACTTTACAGCTACTGGCACAGTGGACCTCCAAGGAACCTGGATTATTATTATTATTTTTAAGTGGACAAGAAGGATTAAACATACCGACTTTTGCTTTTGTACAAAAATGCATTGGACTGTGTTTTTCCTTAGGGGTATTGTGGGCTTCCTCTGGAGCGGCTGGGTTCAAGTGGGCTATGCAAAAGGAGGTTTGGGAGACAATCATGTCCACTCCAGTTTTATTTATAGAAGACTGCGGAACCATGAAAGACGGGAAATACAGAGGGAAATTCTCTCTATTTTGGGTTTGCCTCACAGACCCAGGCCATTTTCACCTGGAAAACAAGCATCTTCTGCACCCCTCTTTATGCTGGATCTGTACAATGCCATGGCCAGCGAGGAAAATCCTGAAGAGTCGGAATACTTGGTGAGGGTATCCCTGGCAGGGGAGGCCAAAGAGGCAAGAAAGGGATACCCAGCCTCTCCCAATGGGTATGCTCATCGTATGCAGTTATCTCCAAGGATTCCTCTGACTACCCAGAGCCCTCCTCTTGCCAGCCTACATGATACCAACTTTCTGAATGATGCTGACATGGTCATGAGCTTTGTCAACTTAGGTATGTTGTTTGTTTATTTCTTCATCTTTATAATTATAAAGTAGAATTTTTTTCTAATAGTAAAGCAGCTTCTTGGTAGGTGGCCATGTTTATATATATTCATTTTATAAAACTCTCCTCAATGACTTGTTTCATTTTTTACAGTGATACAAGGTTTTGCTTTAGGCTACAGAGTCACATATATTTAGCATGGGTAGCTAAAATTAAACAGTCACAATTTGAGCAGAATTTGGTCCTTTGAGAGCTTGTTAAAATTTAATTTAAAGATGTTCATAAAAGGCAATATTATAAAAAGGGAAATTTATAAGGATAGCAAATGCTTTCGGCAAGAAGGAAAAAAGAAAGAAAGGAATGGAGAAAGGAAGAAACCAGTATTAATGTATGGGAAAATAAAAATAACTTTACAACCATTTTTTTTGTTAGTAATTTAAAGAGCATGTGAATATATACTCATATGCTACTTAAAAATTCTCATCTAGGGGGAAAATTGTTGTAAAAATCTTTAAATGAAATTAACCAAGATCAAATGAAACTGTAAAATATTAACAATCAAGGAAGTTCAATGAAAAAAATAGTTTAGAAAAGAAGTTTCAGTCTAATTGAAACATTCCTTAAGTGAAATGCTTAAAATGTAGTCATACGTAGTTGATGTTTGACACAGGCAAGATAAATATAAAACTTGCTTTGTAGTATTTGTCTATACTGAATTCTCCTTTGAGGTAAAATATTTAATTGATAATTTCCATAAATGTCAACAAGGATATTAAAGAATATGTTTTAAAATTATATTTCATTCAGTGCTGGTACTTCATGGTAATTTTTAAATATTGACAATCTCAAATGGCACATCACTGACTAGTATATTCTCCCATGAGTATATTAAATAGTTTACCTACTTAAAATCGTTGTACAAGGGCTGTTTTAACTTAAAATACTTTGGTACATGCTAAAGATGAATTGAGTATCTTCAGACATTTAAAGGAAAGTAACATTAAACATAATTTAATTTTAAGACCTAAAAATTTAACCAACAAATTTAATAAACTTTAAAGAATCAAGGTCCCTATAAAGTAATACCTTCTAAATTTTTAGATTAAAATGCAATCTGGGTTAAATTAAAACTATTTTACTCTACACCTAGTAAAAACTATCCCTGTACACTATCTCAAAGGAAATACTTTCTGAAAAGTCAGATAGTAACGAATCTTGGTGATATGTGGCCAAGTTTGTAATGTATGTTTCTTCATATGCTCTGGTCATTTACTCTTAGCAATCCTGGCATGAAGGATAAGGGGTTTACTAAATCATATGTTTTGTGTTACCAGGGACAAAGCTCCTAGTACTGATGTTTAGAAAGCCATCCTCTACTGCATCCAGGTGCTCAGCAGGTCTTTCTCATGGCATTTTCTTTTGTACATATAATTAGCAGGTTTCTGTGAGATCTTTCAAATAGAACTCAATTCTAAATTGGTTCTATTGTTTCTTCTTAGTAAGGGACATGAAAATATTCCTCTTATAATATTTTACTTTTCAGCCTTTTCTATTCAAGAGTTCACATTAATATCAATAGAACAACTTTTGCACAGCATAACTAAATGCAAATCACTATATTTAGATGTAGACCTCTTACATGGATTTAGGCCACGTAAACATCTAAAGCAAGTATCATATTTTTTACCTTTAAATTATTTTAGTGATTTTTTTCACTTTAAAAACAAATCTAAACTATTAGACCAACTTTAGTTATTTGTTTAGGTCATCTAAAACATGACAAAAGAGAATTTGTGATTAAGCAATAATAGCTCAGTTATGAATCTGTCTTAATATGTTTGATTAAACTGAATCTTTTGATCATTTGTAATAGCTTTCTACTTTTATTTTAGAAAAAAAATAGATTTTTGAAGTTATATATCATTACTTTTTGTAAATACAGGTAAAATAAGAAAACAAAACAAACAGAAAACAATTTATTCAATTATTTCTAGAACTTTGTTTACCATTAAATAATATTTTGCTTTTAAACTAATGGTATTTATCTTGTGCTGGTCACAGTGTGATAGCATAGCTGTTTACAAGCTCATTACTTATATCACCACTTATAATTATTTATTTTATTCTAGAGAAATAGTATTAAATTTAAACTTCAGAAACCTTATTTTGATCATGCTTAAATAGGTGATTAGTGGTGTTTTCCTCAATAGCAAGCCATATAGTTTTTTCTTTATTAATAACCCCTAAATAAATATTGCATAAGAAATTATTAGAAAATGGATTCTGATCCTGGGTGAATTTTTAGTAGTTGTCTTGAAGTAAAATTGAGCTACAATTTTATTACTCTTAAAACATTCCTACAAACATAACCAAACTTCATAGGCAATCACTACTTAGTATAAAGCTCACTTCTGTTTTCTTCCATGCATAAAACAAATCAAAGCATATTTGGAAAGCTAAGCGTATAATATCATTATAAACTGAACAAAAATTCCAGTGCTCTTAATGTAATTCACCAGCACATATTACCTGCACAGTGTTTCGCACTGTTAGGAAGCTCAAGAGAAATTTATTTCTTTAGTATCTGAAAAAGTGTCTATGTCATGGAGATGAAATCCACATGAGGCCAGTTAGTAGTAGAAAGGGGCGTGTTCTGAGGAAGCCACCTGGGTGTAAAAGTATGTGGATGGCATCTGTAACATTTCTCATAACTAATTTAGCTTAACCCAGATCCAGAATCATATCCAACACACTATTTACTTTTTAATTTTTTTGTGAATTAGTATTGTTTTCATAAGTGAAAAATACTATAATTTACTAAAAGATAAAAATGAAATGTAAGTAGCAGGAATTAGGGTATGTAATCATTTAAATATAATCCAAGATTAGCATTCTACCTTTAAATGATTTTTAGCAACTTGTTCACTTTATAGAAACAGATCTAAATGGTTAGACCAAATTTAGTTTCTGTTACAGTAAGAAATTTTTACAGATTAAACCCCCACCCTCAAATTGTTGAATATCAGCCAAATTTTTGTTGAACTGATACCACTTAATTTTGTGGGGAACAAAAATATGTTTCTAGTATTTTATTTTTTTTACTTATTGTACCTCTTTTTCCTAAATGTTTACTCGGTTTGTGTATGAAGTACTTATACAAATCAACAATTACATTATACATTTTTAATATTTAAGTACAATTCCTGTCTTGGGACATATGCCTGTGGGATAGTTCCAAAATTATTTAAAAATTAGATAACAATGTCTCATCTAATTATTTAATGATACAAAACTAAACATTTTAGAGCAAATTATAAATAATAGGAAACTTGTGTTATTCATTATCTACATATTTTTTTTTCTGAAAGCAAAATTTGCCATTTGTGTTTATTAGTAGATTTTGGGTCATTGATGTGTTGATTTCAAATCCTTTTTAGATATATTTTAAGATACATGTACAAGTATAAAGTATATAGATGCAACATTTTAATGATCTATAACATGTTAGATATGAAAGGAGCAATACAGGGAGCATTAAATTAAGGTTCCCTTGTTAAAATCAATAACTTCCCCCATTATTGAAAAATATGTAATGTTTATGTACTCAATTAACAACTTCGAAAGTCATCATTGGTATTTATTGTTGTTTTTGGCTGACTCAAATGCTCAATGGAGAGGAACTTATGTAAATCTTTGTAAAGATGCTCCCTATGGTATGGAGTCTCTCCAACAGCGTTATTAACAGGTGTAATATAAACACATGCAGTGTTTTAAAAATGTAAGTGATGGGTTGAGAGAAAAGATGATTTGAAACCACCATAGCACATATCCATGGATTATGCCTGGAATAAAAAATACTGATACTGGACAAAACAACAATCATTCTTTAAAATTTTCCCTCTGTTTGAAGGGAAAAAATTATCGTTAAGGATGAAAACCTTTTCTCTCTTCATCAATCATTATCATTTATAATCAAGACAATTAGATTGTGGTTCTTAAAGTTATCTTATTGCCAAATGACTGGGGCAGCTCCTGGAGGGAGATTACTATAAACGTAGTTTATAAAAATTATGTCTTAATGGTCACTTACAAAATAGCCAGTTCCAAAAGTCTAATGACAAGTAACTTGGGAATTTGGAAGGAATGGACATATAGCTAGAAGATGTTGGACAGGCCCCAAGAACCTCCTGTATCTAGCTCCTTACTCTCTCACTGTCTGTAATGACACACTCTTTCCTTACCCCCTGCCCCAACTCCAACACTTTTAATTCTCCCCCTTTTAGTTTTGTAGTTTCTGGAGCCTCAGGCTTTCTTGGCATGCTGTCTTTACCGTTCCCACCCTTCCAGGGAGTTGCCTTTGGTCTTACTTTCTTTATAAGGAAAGGCTTAGATTAGTTGAAAATCAATTAGTTCCAGTTTGAGAATGTAGGTAGAGCCTCCTGTTTTCTCAGTAGCTGAGAAGGAAAAGGTATTGATGTGCCAATTGCAGCCTCCACTCACAGGGAGGAGAGCACCCTAGGGCATTAGAATTCACTGACTTCTGCTGTCCCTTGCAATGATTTCTCTGAACCGCCCCCTCTGTCCCCTTCCTTTTATCTACTCTATTTGAGGTTCCCTTTGGCTCAACTTCACTGGTACTTTGACTCTACTATTCTCAAAGGTGATTAAAATTTAAAAGGAAACAAAAAATTAAACCAAAGTAAGAGGTTGAAAAGACTACAGCCCTGAACAAAACTAATTCAGCATTCAATTCTCATCCAATTTTTCTTTATATTATCTTTATTTAAGACCAATACCACTAATATTAAGAAATTATTTCCTTTATTAAATTCCCAAGAGGTGATAATGAGCTAGTTTAAAACAGTGTAGAGAAGGCTGATAAATACAATGCTTCTTAAAAGTACGCTAAAAAAAGACAGTAAATGAGCTGGTCTAAGTGGTGCAGGTGGAGAATGCGCTGGGAAGTCCTCTGTCTGTGTCATGCTGGCACAGAAGCTAATTTAGTATCC